GTAACAGGGTGAACAATGACAAAGGAATGCTTTTGTTGCACTTCATTTGAATAGCTTGTGACTTCAATTCAGACCGGAGGTCTTGTGTTGATCTTGGGCTGGTCAGGTCTTGTGGAGGTCTCGACTACAAATACTGCTCTGAGATATACTACGCGGGAGATGAAGTCACATTCTGTATTACATTGCATCATGTCCACTCCCAATGGAAAGGAGGAAGATTTATCATTGTGCAATCAACCCAACAGCTGAAAAGACATTGAGTAGGAACACTAGGATCCTTGGTTGCAGGTGTGCATCTTGGGTTTTGACAAAAACGAGGACATTCCACTCCTTACAAGACTTTGTACAGTGTTCTTTAATTGTCAATGCCATGAGTGTGAAGTGAAAAACGAGGAAATCAGCTGATCAGAGGAAAAGTCACATGACTGTTGGTTGGGAGAGGACCCCACATTGGAAAACCATGTACAATGTACAGATTTGATGGGAAACCTCGGCATAAAGTTGAAGTAAGAACACTTCTGTTCAAGATCTTAAACTCCAGCAGAAATTGGTGCACGTGCCCAGAACGTCCCATGCGGGCATAAAATGTGCAGTGTGCGGCCAATAAGTCCCAAGCAAAGGGATACCACTGATATGTAAACATGGGTCATTCCATGAGGTTGGGGCACAATTTGTGAGAGTGTCCATTGTTACACGGGTTCCTTAAAAATGAACAGCTATTTCCCTCCACAGGTGCATGTGGATTCCCAATTGACATTGTTATACATCTTGAAAGGCTGAATACAGAGGTGTGTGCTATTTTTACAGGGTAAATGACCTACTCTACAGGTCATGACAGGTGGTAAAAGTTACCCATGTAACAAGGACTCCGTCACAAATTGTGCCCCAACCTCACGGAATGACCCACATAAGCCCTCTCCTGTTCCAGACTGAATGGAAAGGACAGAAGGAGGTCCTCGAACGGAGATGTTTGCACTTTTGCATAATTTGCATACGTGCTAGTGGGACTAGTGCTAATGCAGGCAAGCAGTTATGACAAGTGCATGTACAGAGGCGAGTTTATCCATCCAATGCAATTGACAATCGACAATTTCAGGACCCCCTCTCTACCTGACATCGGTATAAGTGTCCCTGCTGATTTCAAACACTGATTAGCATGATTCCTTTCCCCTTTTGAGATCAGATAATGCCTTTAGTTACTACATGTAGGAATATCATTCGCAAGAAAGGAAAACCCACATAATCTAACCCGATTAGACGCCATAACTGCGGTTGCATCGCACTCACATGCACATTCTTTAGCTTGATGCGCGCGTGCATTTGGCAAATCACGACACCCTGTTGGTCAAAGAGGCATATAATGCGCGCGTAACACCTGTCCACGAGCGTTGCGCCACCGCAGTAATGGATTCTAATTCTGGTGGTCCAATTACACTATATGCACAAATACAAAGACTGAAAAGTAATAGAATCACTGTTTCAATTCTATGGACCTCGTGAGCAGACCATGAGGGGCGCATATTACATATACAGGTACTTGCACATCTACATTAACTCAGTATTCTCGACCCAAACTTAAAATTGCATATGATCGCACCTTTTGGTTGATTCTCTGCTGATGCTTAAGCAACACTTGTAATTTAAAAGCTACACCACATAGCAGACTCTCATTTCTCTTGCTTAGCATGTTTGTTTGCCGAACAACAGCGATACTATGACGCTGCATTTATCAACAACGACACTGTGACGTTGGGTCCCTGATACCCTCTCGGGTCATTTCTGGTACACGTATCTAAATCAGAAGAGGTTTTAGATATCACACAACACACATACATGGGCCAATTTCATAGAGCTGCTTAAGCACAAAATTTGCTTAAGCTTGAAAAAACTTGCTTAAGAAAACAAAGGGTTACCAGCTCAAACTCTACCTGATTGTCATGCTAACCAAAAGACAGCTAAATATGATCCCTGAACAATATACACCACATGGAGTTGTGGCAGGTTACCTGATTTATCAAGCAAGGTTTTCTCGCGCTCAATAAGCAAATTTCGTGCTTAAGCAGCTCTATGAAATTAACCCATATGAACACTACATGTTATCACTCATACTTCAAAATCTACAGCTACAGTGCAACTAATTCACACTTTGTGTAATTAATACAATCAATGCCTCCTCTTTGTATAATGCGAACGATTTAGAGTATTTACAATTTCTATGTACACTGGAGGTAAAAAGTTAAAAAATTCAAAAAATATTTCTGTACATACATAAAGACACTCTGAATCAGCTATGAGAGGGGTATTTGTCTGAGAATTCTGTAACAAAGTGTAACGGAGAAATCACTGTTCATTATTAACTTTCATGGGTGTAGAATGGTACGGTATGTCTTGTCTACACCACTTCACGGGGTCAGTGACTTGCAAGTATGGTACAAAACTTGTCAGTAGGTCTGTTCATTGTAAACGTCAGGTGTAATACCAGTCAAGAATATCTGAATATATTGGTAGGTTGTTAATCTGTTTCGCAGACAGTTTGAAAGTAGTAATATCCTTACTATGTCAAACGTCAAAGTCAAATGCAGAATATAAAAACTCCGAATGGCCAATAGGATTTAATTGCATGGTATGGTGCTTGAATACATTGTGAGTGTTACTGTTGCTATATCTCTGGTTCTAAGTGGCCAATTCAGGTGGTCAATCCTTGAATCAACAGTTCAGCCAGAGTTTATCTCAGCCTCAAATTTGAAAACCTGAAAAATGACCTCTCTGCTTTCACAAGAGGGTTGTGACGACTTTCAGATGCTGAAACCAACTTGCCAGGCATCTTTTGCTAGCACATATCCTCCCAGAACCCTCCGTAATTTCCCACTTTGAAGGACGCCCATGACAAATCCTGCACACTTCACTGTCTGCAATGAATCTTACCAAATCCTAAAATACCTTGCGCAGTTTGAGGCCAGGGATTGCCGCGGGTTTGGGTAAATCTAGGCTTATGCCTTTTTTTTGGGTGGGGAGGGAGGATGTGGTCTCACTTTTCACATTGCTTTTTGGAAAAAATTGAATCTGTGGGCACTTTCAGACCTTACGGCTATCAACACCAAACAGTTCTTGTCAAAATGAAGAGCTTTATACAGAAAACTTTGATTTGATGCTATTTGGGGAAGAAAAGTGGTTGCAACGTACCAAGGTCAACATTTGGTCTTTTGTCTCTTCATATGTTTACACAGGACTAAACATGCTCCAGCTTTTGGTACATTACATCTTTCTGAGTCAACTCACCTAAAGTCAACTTTTTCGGAGCAAGGTAAGACAGCTTCGTCTTTTTCAGCACGGAATGCCGAATTTTCCAGCAACAACAACGAATTGTGAATGGCCGGGGAAATGTCCTGACTGCGCTGTGAGTCCTTCACAGGTGGCAGCTCAGAATTTTCGGCTGTTGGCAGCTTCTCATCTCGTAGAAAGTGACTGGTGTTGCGGCCGTGTGTCGCATCTATCCCACAGTGCACCGCAGCGCCCTCTGATTTCGGCAGAGCTTCCCCCTGCAGGAGGTCGTCCATCAAGACATTGCTGGTGGACGGCGTTTCGCTGTGGTCGACAAAGTCCGCGAGATGGGAAGCACTGTCATCGTCACCGCTGTGTCGATTCTCTGGATGTCCAGGGCTGTGCCTGTCACTGTCTGGGCCATCGGTATAGACAGTGTGGGGGCTTGCTGGTTTGGATGGGGGAAAGACTTCAGCGCCGTGGAAGATGTAGCGATTTGGAGGTACAAAGAGATAGGAGGATGCTGTGTTCACAAAAAAAAACACAACAAGAAATTCATAAAACTTGACAAAAAACTAGCATGCTTGTGTGAGACGATGACTTCATACAAACCTAAAGGGTATCTCTCCTGATTGGGCACACCCCGTATATTCGTTCTCTGGAGTTTCCACGCATTCTTGTTTCAGCAAGCTAAGTCACTTTTACCCTTTCTTGGAAATTGACATGGTAGTTTCCCGCAGGAAGAAACTCACCTTCTAGATACAAGGCAATGCTGCTTCGCCGCTTTCTTCTGGAACGGGCTTCACTAGGAGTTGTCTCATCTTTTGTCTTTAAGATGGCAGTGACATCTTGTGACCTGCTTGCATCGCCGGGCATCTCGCGACCACTAGCTTTGCCGCTATTTTCAGCCTCCTGACTCAAAGCCTCATTGGTCTCACTGATTTCACTCTGCCCACTTTCTGCGAGGACAATGTTATCTGCTGACTGAACACTGGCTTCAGTGTCCTGAGTCCTGCTTCCATCCTCATATACCGTGCTGGAAATGTCAGAGTTTTGAGCACCATTGCTTTCTTGGGCTTTGTCCCGACAATCCTGGTCTCGAAGAAGCTTGGAGTTGGGCTCCCTAGGAGGGTGCAGCTGATCAGTCGTTTCTCTAAATTTTTGGGACAGTCTCTTTTCCTGTTGGGATCCGGCCATTTCACTTGTACAAGTATCAAGACGCCCATTGCCTGAAGTAGATATGTTGGTTTCTGCTGCTGCTTTGCCTGTCAGTCCTACGTTATTGGACTCCGGAGTTTCTGGAAGCCCCAGTGGGCCTGGAACAACTTTCTCTGGAGCACTAGAGTTCATAGTCTCTCCAGCCTTAGACTTGTCTCCAACTTCTTGAAACACATCCTGCTCCTCATTTAAATGGTGATCCTCCTCTTGCCGTCGTTCAGATCCGCTGATCCAGCTGGTGCTGTCGGCAACTTCAAATCCTCTCTCGAGCTTTTCTGCAGTCACTGCCATTTCAGCCTCGTCGTCTGCAGAGTTGCAGCTGTCCTCGTCAGGCACGACAGGCATTTCTGACGTCTCCACCAAGGATTTGCCGTCGCAGATCTGATCCCAGCTCTCACCCAGTCGACGACAGATCTCGTTGACGATCACGTCACCGTCACCCAGCAGCTCGATGTCAAAGTTCATGTGGTTCAGTGGCTCCCTGTTAATAAGAATCTGGGGCACGTGACCAGGTATGGTATCTGAGAGCAAGGAAGTATAAAAGAAAAAGTGCATCAGCATCATAGGATCATAACTTTTGACCATTAATGAGCTCATTTGCACAGGCATTAGCTCAAATGTTCCCAGGCCATTAAAAATCCACCGATGTTTTCTAGGATTTTGCAGGATTCTTGTCGAATCATAAGTATGGGACAACAATGGATATTCCAGGACGGTTCCATCAAAAACAAATTTGGAGTCAAATGAACAACTCCAGATCTTACTAGGGATGGTAGCAACCGGCTGCACTTTAAGTGACGACCCAATGACAATGAGTAGATCCACTTGTTCCTTGTCCTCCTCCAAACAGTGGTAGAAGTCCTTGGGTAGCCCCTCCCCAAAGAAGACGATGTCAGGCTTCATGACAGCGAGCACCTCCGGGTCCTGGGGACAGCGCGGGCAGAGGGGTACCGTCTGGTTGAAGATGTCGGCTCGGATGGCCTCGGCATCGACCTGGTAGTTGCAGTTGGTACAGCGGGCGGTGGCAAAGGAGCCTGTGTGGAATACCAGCAGTTTTATTGTCAGCAGAACTGAGTGAACCCTCGGTCAGCTTCACCCTCCAAAATAAGCCATGGTGGAGCTGGCCGGCCATGGCTGAGATAACACTTGTGCCAACGGAAGCCGCTAACTCGAGGCTACAGACATCTATCATGGGGCAGCCATCTTGCCATTATAAATAACAAATATAACCCAACTGAGGCTGAAAGGGAAAATATTCTGTATCTTTTTATCAATTTGTGAAGTTGTATTACTATCACCAATGGGTCTACAGGGAACAAGACAAACATGGCAGCATTATGATAACGGCCTATGAGCCCCGAGCTGGACCAAAAGAGGGCACTATTTTCCATGCAGACGAGGTTCCTTTGGTGGGAACTGCACTTTGCTGGTTTACGAACAACTGTGAATTGCAACTGTGTTACGGTTGCGTTACTACCAACAATATGAACATTCCCCACCAACCTGGCTCTTTCCAACCAAAGAGGGAGTGCTCAAGGCAGATAGCCAATTAAATAGACTTGTGCATTGTCTCGAGCTGCAGCCAAGATATTCCAAAAGGGCTAGTCTTCAGCACTGGACAATTCAATGGGATGTCTGACAACAAGGGGTGAAGAGTGAATGGGTGGGAATAGGTTGACAATATGGGGCTCCATCAATGGTGATCTGCAATGCTGATCAATGCCAATGTGACAGTGCCAAACGGACAATGACTGTGCTTTCTTGCAATGTGAACAATATTTCAAGCTGATGTCTTGTTGGTGGGTTCCTTGGCTGTTTCTCTTCATGTTTCTAAAAGAGGGGAACCTTGCTTGGAACTGGCTCGGTCCACTCAAGGTTTGCGCAACCTGCACTAAGTGGACCAGTTTCTGCTTCTCGGGTCCATGCAAAGACGGCAAGGTCGGCGCACCCATGCCAACTGATGCAGGACTCACCGTGGCACTGGAGGACCCTGGTGATTCCGGCCACCTGCTCAAGGGTGTCAATATTCTGGGAGAAGTTACGCAGCAGCTTGCCGTGCTGCTCCAGCAGGGCAATGAACTTGTGGCAAGAGGAGGGTCTGAACTCGCCAGGGTAGATTTCCTGGGAAGGACAAAAAGGCATAGAGTGCTTAACTTTAGTCACAGCATGCCTTTGATATTTCGTACCATATCTGACACAATGAGTGAAATTCCTTGTCAGTCAGTCGAACATTCTAATCATTAATGCACAAAAGAGTATTAATCCTACAAAGAAAGTATTTGCAATGTTATCTACAGTTTCCTGTTATTACTTTGGCAAATTTGAAGAAGGGTCTTGGGTTCCGTCGGAAGTAGTGGATATCAAAGATGGCTTGTGGGTCAGGCAGGTCAGGGAAGTCAACGGCTAGCCTGGCGTAGATGCCGTCTCGGGACCTGAAATCGGGGATGCCGCAGGACACTGACACCTGGAAAATGAGGACAAGGGGAGCTTTGAAGTTGGGCAGTGTTCAAGAGGTTATCAGGCTTGCGGTCACTACTGCTATTTGAAATTGATTCCAAATCAACTCAGGAGTCACGGTTTTGCTCAGAAATTGACTCCAGATTACCAAAACAAAAAAAAAAAGCGTTAACGCCAGTTAACACCCTTTAAAAATCCAGATTTGTTGGACAAAGATGAGAGCCACTGTTGTTTTACAAGGGGATTGGTGTCCCTGAAAATTGAAGAATAATGAATTTGCCACTGGCTTCTTCTACTTTGTATAGGTCCCTAGGAAAAATTGCCTGCGGAGAACAACTTCAGGAGTTACATATAATGACTTGGGATGTTTTCTTACTCACCCCAGCTCCTGTTAGCACCATAATCCTCTTGGAGACCCGCAGCAGGTTCAGGGCATCATCGAACGTGTTAACATCCGGTAGCTTCTTGCGGCGGGGAGGCTCCCGCAGCATCTGGAAGTAGTCAGCGATAATGGACCACACCTCAAACTCGTCCAGGTCCTCGGGCAGGGAGGCAGAGACAGTGGGCAGGAGGCGGGCCAGAATGGCGCGGGGATGCGCGCCCGACATCATCTGCCGCTGCAGCCATCCCATGGGACCTAGGCACAAAGCAAGTCCATCCCAGTGAATTCAGCGACGTGAGCAGACGTACTTCATGCATATTCACGATCAGAGCCAAGATACACCATTTAGGAATGGTAATTTTGAAATCAAATGAGGTTGACTTGAACACAAAGGTATACATCAAGAACTTTTCCATTCCCCAGGCTTTATCCATGATCATGATGAATATTTTTAACATTGGAAGCTACGAATCTCAGTCTTGCTTTTCAAGGGGCTTGATGCCACTTGAAAAGCAACTTAAGCCTACACATAGTACAAAGGGATTTTAAAAATCTATGATACAAGTCAAGGTTTCCAAGCTTGATTTCAAGTTAGTTTTGTCAACAAATACCTTTTGGCTGTTCCAGCTCACACTCCCCCAGGCCAAGATCTAGATCTTCCTCGTCCAAGGAGGCTACACTACCTTCCCCACTACCAGAGCTGCTGTCATCTTCTTTGTCTTCATCACTCTCCACACAATCAGAGCTGCCCCGACCCGTTGAGGCATTAGTGTCTGAGGCTGGTGGACTGCTGGAAGACGTTTGGCATGGAAGGCAGTGGTCACGCTCACCTAGGGAAAAAAAAAATTCAATTGAAACCTGTATCTCTGTGCATATTTGCTATAAAGCTTTCAGAATTTATCATTGATCAAACTCCTTCCTTGATAATGCAGCCTGGCATGTATGAGGATGAATGCACTGTGTGTGTTGCTCATGGGTCCATACAAGAACAGCATGAAAGTGCAGACATGTACAAGTACATCACACTCTTTCAAAGGGGAGGGGGTGGGGAATGAGTGATTTGATGACACACTGACTCAATCATTTGAAAAGAGAGAGCAGTTCTCAAAAGCCAAAGCGCTAAGTTTAAATTTTTGATTCCAAAGTTTCCTTATTAGGATGAAAATTAGGCCTAGCCTATTTGAACTTAACCCTAACCTCCTAGGGTGTAGGTAAAATCGTATTGAAATTGGGCGATTTGGGACTGTTAGGGTCAAAAAGCAGTGAACACGGTGAAGCAGCATGAATTTAATGTTTGAGGGAAAACAAAGGGAAGCGGGCCCAATAACCATAAGTTGGAACTTACCTAAAATGATTATGAAAGGGATTGTAAAAATAATCCCCCCCCAAAAAAATTACATGTAAACAAATTGAAACAGCGCCCTCTCTTGATAGGATTACAGTCTTGCTAGTTGAAAAGCAAACAAACATGCCAAAACAATTTCGGTAATTAAAACCATACAAGTCGATGGCAACCTTATTTTCTTACATGAATCTGTTTGTGCTGGAAGAAAATCGTTATCGAAATGCGATGGGACGTTGTCGAGGTTATCGCGTTGGGTTGCGTCCGACGGAAGTTCGTGTTCGAATCCAGCGCCAGATTCGGGGTCGAAGTTGACGGGGTGTTTTCCTTCAAAATGTTGACCTCTCGGCGAATAAAGTGAGTTGATTTCATGGCTAGCCGGTAAAACGCCAATTTCTTTGTCGACGTCGTCTGACAGAATGCCGTTTGACCCTTCAGCGTCGAGTCGGGGACGCTTTTTGGGCGATTCCAAAGAACTTCTTTCGGCAAAGTCCGCCATGTTGAACTTAAATTGACCCTTTACGTGTTAGCTCTTTCACAGCGCATAAAAAAGGAGTGGTCAGATTGTATTTGAAATAAAAAATAACAAATCGCAATACTTGATGTTTAAGCTCAGCAAGTTAAAATATTTTAAATTGTAAATATATGTCTTTTATTGTATATTTTCAGAAATATTTATACAACTTGTATTTTATTATTATGTCCTTGTCCTTGGCGATCTTCGCTGTTCTATCTCCAGAGGGGGTCTTCTATTATATAACATGATCGCCTGTCACTTCCGTGCATTGAACATCAAGTGGAACGTTAGTGGATTGACGAATGGTCCTGATTGGTTGAAACTTTTGGTTTATCTGCACCTCTAATTGATGAAAGGTTATCCAGAGACATATCTATCGACGCATGTTCAGATTTTGAATGAATTATCCACCTAGACAGGTTTTTCTTCTCAGTGGACAGAAGTCAACTTTATTGAGGATAAATTTTGCTGAGTCAGTTGAGTTAAAGCCGAGGCTGAGATCGCATGAATTGTTGCTGGTAGGCACAACCATAGACAGAGACTGATACTATAGACGAGCAAAGAAACAGATAATGCCGGTTCTGAATGTATTCGACTTACCAGGTTCAGGTCGTTGCTAATTGGCTGAGTTAAAAGGAGCAAACTCCACTTTACAATACAAGGCCATCACGTTAATTTTGCAACCATGGATGATATTTTAAATGCACAGGCAAGGGATGAAGATGATTTCTACAAGTTGCTGGGGTGCGATGAGTTGTCCACAGTAAGTTTTTAATTTTAAGGTCATCAGTGGATTTGCACCAATGGTGTTACAGTTGGCAATTCAATTTGTTTTGTTTGAAATTTAGAATTATAAAACTAAAGAAACTCATTATGTATTTTAACCAGAGTTAGTCTTAGTTTTAGAATGTGTAGCAATCTTTTAAGAGTAAATTTTGAAATTTTTATTCAAGCGCAAATTAATCTTTGGTTTTTTTGTCCACCAGTAGGCCTACAATTGCAGTTCTTTGGAATGGCGTCATTCCATTCTTTTACATATTATTATTAACCTTGGTTATTTAAATTTGTAAATTCCTGTTTTCCTGTCCACAGACTGAGCAAATAAATACTGAATTCAAGTTGAAAGCACTTATTGCCCATCCGGATAAGAATCCTGATGATCCAAATGCAGCAAAGAGATTCGCTGAGCTGCAACGAGCCCGGGACATCCTGACGGATGATAAACGACGCCAGGAGTATGACTTCTGGAGGCGGAGTGGAATCGCCGTCCCGTACAGTTCCTGGATTTCAATGAAGGATGCCATGCATACTGTGAGTAATTCAGTCATACATGTGTGTGATGATGATAGTGCTTTTTGAGGATAGGAGGCCCTTTTTGCATCACGAATTGACAAATGCGTATTGTAATGCGCGGAAAGAAAGTTTCTTCAACAAAAGACTGTTTCGTGTGTCAGAAATTCATGCACCACACATCACATCTTCTGTTTGTGATCGATATGTTTGCATGATCTGAAGAGTCCCTTGATAATGAACCTGTACCAAGGGAGTAGAAACTTGGCTGGTCCTGGATTTAGAGAAATGTTCGCAGATTTCTACTGTACCTGTTTCACACAAAACTCAACTTTCTGCTATTGGCAGTCCATGCACTGGGCAGTGAAGAAGAAAAAAGACCTGATGCTAGAGGAAGACCCAGACAACCTCACCGAATCTCCTGGGGACAGTGACATGAATGCGTCCTCCTGTACACACACAGCGATTCCTTCAAGCTGTGGTAAGATGCTGCCTGTTACAGATTATGCCGGCGTGAAAATGAACTTTTCAGCAATATACAGAAGATCAACATGGTTGAATTTACATTAGTTCAGCTTGACAGTCGGCACTTTGGCGTAAAGGGGGGCCACAGTATCAGCTAGGGGGGCCACATCACAAGAACGAAACAGATTTTTTTATACTTATACTTTTTACCGTTGGGGGGGCCAGCTTCCTGCCAGGGGAGCCTGGCCCCCCTATGGCCCCCTTTGACGACGGACCCAGATGGGCTGAGCTCTCAACCAATAAGAATGGTCGAACTGTTTTAGATACTTATGAATGTGCTTTTGTTGCATATTTGTTTTTTTTACTTCAGGTCAGTCCAGACGATTCATCCCTGCTAGTTGGACCAGGGAGCCCGCCAATGACATCCTCCAGAAGTTCAGAAATTATAATTTATGAGTTTGAGGTTGTACTCATCAACATCTTCTCACAGCCGTATTCTCATAGGAAGGTTAATAACATATAACTTGAGCCATACGAACGGCTCGCGCAAAACATGTACATTCGTCATGCAGTTCACTTTGGATCATTTTCATGCATTGTCATGCAGTTCTACAAATATTTTTTAGATAACTTGGACAAGGATAAGCACGAGTTCCATGACGTGAATTTATCTGTAACACATCCCAACACTCTCTCATCTTAAGCAGGCCTTTGTTTAATTGTGAGGTAATCAGATGTTACCTGGAAGTATCCTTTTTGATTTTCATGTCTTGTATCTACCTTGATAACTTAGTCAGCTGTAAAGGTTGTGATACGTGTAGCGCTGTGTATTGAAATGGTCCCTTTGTGAGTTATGTATGCTGTTTTAGGTCACATGCATGCCCTCAAGTCGTACTTACTAGTCAAGTATAGGCTCTGCAATGGCTACTGGTTGTCAATGGTCTTATGCAGTGAAACTGACTTCTCAAGTTACTTCTGAATTTGTTGTAGTGACAGACTTACTTACTCCATAACATGTAATACACGGTGGCGTAGTGGGAAGGGGGAGCTGGGGGGCATGTGCCCCCTATAAATTCCCGGTGCCCCCCACACTGAAAAAAAATGAATGGATATTGAAAAAGGCTAACAAAAACTTGCCCCCCAAAAGCCACACCACTGAAAGCTGGTGCCCCCCCNTGCTGGTGCCCCCTTTGTGCCCCCAGTAAAATCCTAGCTACGCCACTGGTAATACATAACCAGCAGAGTTACGTATGGCATGCCATGTCATACGCCATGGCATAAAGTTGGCCATTTGCCCAGTTGATGTTCATTCGAGATTTCACAAAAGTCATATTATATAGCTGAATTTTATTGAATGCCATTTTTTCCCTAATAATGTATGCACCAGATGTATATTTTCGCAATCTAAAAGCAGGGTTTAGTGAGATTGATACAAACGTTTCATAGAATTTTCCAGGCCGTATTTAAGACACATAATCTTGCCATCCATTTTCAGAATGAAGTGAAACCGTTGAATGTACTGTTTTTTCGTTTCAAAGATATTCACTATTCAAATCATGGTGGAGGTTTTGTTAACCCTGCATATTTAAGGGCAATGCATGTTTTGTTTATACTTTGTACATTTTTTTCCTATTTATTGTAATGCTCGTAGTGATTTAAATACATTGGTATATATCAAATAGAATAAATGTATGACTTATTAGTTTTGTTATTGGCACAAATTAAGAAAGGCATTCACAAACTGGTCATCCAAAACTTTATGTGAAAAGATTTTAGAGGTGTTTTTGAAAAGCATTTTGTGCATAACGCAGGTGAAATGTATGACTGGCCTTGATACCACAAAATGAGTCTTTTCAAGGATGTTTGCTTCACTTTAAGTTCATTTTCTCAGCCAAGTTTCGCTGAGTTGAACACTGTAATAAAGGCATTAAATGGGAGAAAATAGCAATGATTCATGATAATGATCCTTGAAGAAGACTTATGTGTGAACCGGGATGAACAAAGTGATCTCAACCAACAGAGAGGTTGCTGTAATGGAACAATGCACCTCTTGATGATAACGCATAACCATGAACCATCTGTAAGTGGTCCAATTTAACCATTCACTGCAGTAGATGAAGTCTTGGATGTAGAGTGAGTGAAAAGTATTGTGAATTTCGAGTGTACGTTAGCAGAGTACTTGTTCACAATATATAAATGTATCAAGAATTAATTGTAGTACTCCGATTGTAGTCAAAGCAATGTGCACAAGGTAAATGTACCTGTGAAGGATTAAAGCCACTGATACTTTCTGTTTCTTCATGAATTTTATTTACACACGTGTTTTGCAAAGGACAGTGACAACATCAGAGAATAAGTGTATTAAAATACAAAGATGAGCTTTTGAAAAGTTTTTTTTGTCTGAAGATAGGCCATATCATTTATCCATTTCCAATTGCTAACTGGTCATGCATGCATGAGGGGGGGTGTGATTGGAGGAAACAGAACAATCCATGAAATGATAACCATACAGCAGTGTTGGGTGTATCGAATACACTTTTACCTGCCTAAGGCACCCCTTAGAACACCCATTTCTAGTAAATGTAACTTTTATATGTAAAAGCACCTTAATGGTAAAGTTGGGATTCTGAAGATTTTCAAAGAGATCATTTGAAAAATCTCGAAATCAGAAAATCCTGAGGAAAATCCTAAAGTAAGGACAAATCCTGATAAATTTCACCCCAGATGCTTAGAAAGGGAAACTGTGGCCTCTCATATGCTTGTTAGGTCTGGCCACTTGAATGCCCCAGGCACAGAAATCACATGACCAAAAGACAGAACAGCAACACTTAGCACCTGACATTTTAGATCAATTAATCTGGGCAATGTAAGAATGTTTTGTCATTCTTCGTCAAGACGAAATGAATTGGCGCTGTTACGTGAGCCATGAAATAGATACAATAAACTTAAACCATCATTTTAAATGTAAACTCTACCCTAAAGTCAAAGTATAACTTTCTCCTGTTCAGAGCTCAATCCCACACTTTCAAGTTCGTCTACTGGTGCTGGGAGGTATTTCTCGAAGTTGATGCGCACTCCATCCAGGAGGAAAGCATTGATCGTCAACTTGGTGACAAAAGGTCCTGGCAAAAAGTTCAGAAATACATATTTAAAAAAAAAATCAATATCCTCAGTAAAACTTCAGGCTCCAACTATGGCCAATTGAGGGCTAAATCAATTTTCCTCTCTGTCAAAAAATGAAAAAAAAATCTACTACAGGGAGTGCTGAACTTGCCCTGAGAAATGACCAAATTGAGCAAATGGGCTAAGTACAGCAACTTGTCAGCAATCGCTAAACACAAACCTGTGAAAACATTACCAAATGCCTTCATGTACTTAGTTAAGTATAAACTGTCAGCATCAGTGCTTACCAAACTCTGGTGGCTTATGCTTGCAGATGTCAGTGATGATACACTGCATGTTCTCTTCAAGCTGGTCATTGGTGAGGCTCAGCTGGTTAAAGGGCAAAGGTCATGACAGAATTATTCAAGGTGATTTATTTTGTATTTCATCAGATGATATCTTGCGAGATTACATGTTGAGATCTACAGTCTTCTTGTAACTTTTCTTGACTTATTAGAGAATTACAAGTATTTTGGGTTAAAATTGCTACAATTTGAAGGAATAAATGAGATAACAACAGGTGACTTTCGTAAAAATGATTTTTGGGGGGAACTTTAGTCAAAGGTTTCATTTTACCCGATCCCTTATTATTTTCCCAAAAGGATCCAGTGAAATGCAACAAAATCCAACACGGCTGAAAATGGAATCTTTCATAAGTACAACAAAATGCAACAGTGGATTTGGTTGCATTGTGCACTTTACCGGTTACCTTGGCCTCTGCCAATAGTGTGGACTGTTAAATCCAACGTTTCTTACAGTAACAACAACTTTTCACCACTGCTGAATTCTGTTGTATTTGACAGGGCTAGCGTTCAAAAAAAGGTTGTGTTACCTTGCCAATTGCAACGTTGACATGTTTGCCCTTAATCTGACACTTATACTCTTGTCCTTTCTTGTATCTGTGTATCATGCTTGGGAGATCCAGCCCAACCGATCCTGTGATAAACAATTATTTAATTCAATTTAAAAGAACAAGAGACATTTTCTTCAGTGGTCATGTTTTAATGTGTTCAATACTTATTTTTCAAATATTCAATTACAAGTTTTCTGCATAGAAATAAATCAGGAGATTGCTACCTCTTTTTGAGTTTGGGAACCTCTTCCTCAACAACTGCCTCAGAGGTGCCAGCTCCGCCATCATGTCTGGGGACGACACGCAGTAATCAAAGTCCTTGACTTCTTTGGAGAGAACCTTGGGGACCAATTCTTCACCCCCGACTATGTCTGCCCTGGCGTCTATAGCAACTTGTGCGTCTGAACCCTGTGGAGGACAGTACAGTAAAAATACGACCTCATTAGTTACCAGGCTCCATTTGGTTCCCTAAACCTTGACTGACATTGTGAATTCCAGACAAACAACCCCGTTTAATTAATAATGACCAGATTCCCAGTCACTTCACAAGGAGTTTTGACTACGTGTAACTCCAAAAAGGGTTCAACATTAGAGACATTTAATGATTTAGATTATTTATTATTTAGATTTATTAGATTATGACATTACCATGATTTCCTAATGTAATTCTGAGCCAGAAGAGACTGAATATTTGAATCTATTCTTTACCAATGAAACTCACCCTTGCAAAGCAGAGTACTGTGTTGTCTGGCTTGAAAGCATGTGGCAGTATCAGCATACTCTGGAATGGATCCACTAATTTCTGAAGGAGATAAAAACAAGAACAATAATGAAAGAGGTTGTTGATAATGAAATGAAAGGGCATTTGACTGTATCCACATAAAAAGGACTAAAGACTCTACTTTTTCAGATGATTTGTTTAAAGCAAAAATTTCTGAATGAAGCTTAATTTGATTAAAATGTGAATAACTGATCATTTGCCGAAGTCACAAACTCTTTGTTAATTGCCATGTCTGAATCCACTGGTTGAGTGTGAGTTTGACTCTGGGTGTTAATCACTGATCATTATGAGTCCTGTCCGGGTCAATGACAATAACAGGACACTCAGCAATGCTGACTCAGACTTAGTGCTCACAACCACAACTCTCCGCACTGTCACACCTTCTTCTTCAGGGCCATGTCCAGATTGACTGAAATGGTGACCGTGCGGTCGGCGTATTTGTTCCGCCGACGACAAAACATCCAGGTGTCTTGCTTCCTCAGTATCTCCATAGCCTCATGGAATGATTTCAGCTGTGGTGGGTAGTGCATGTGGAGGTAGACATCGTCCACTGGCTTCCAGGCTAGATAGTCTTTGGGTCTCTCTTGCACTACCATAGCTTCCTCTGCTACTGTTTCTTCAGCTGGTTCATCACTGACCTGGCCTGTAATGCTTGAGAAGCTGTGAAAACCAGTAAATTTATCCGTGAAAAGCACCTCACTGATTAAAAATCTTACTTGAGGCTCAGAGTTGTAGAATTCATCAAAACCTGAATGTGCATTTGAAACACTGTCTCATCCGGCAACCTGTCTATCTGTCCTGAGGACAGACAAAACCAAATTTGGACAGGCAATTTTGCTTGTTCAAAGTTATAAGCCCTAAACTTTTACCTATATCCTTAACGTTGGTGAAAAAGTCTTCACCTTTTCTTCCAAAATACTGGGAGCAGTAAAAAATGGCCTCAGATAGCACTGAGGGATGTCAGTTTCAGAACTTTTGTCCTGGGAGACCACAGACTAAGAAGGGACAGGCAGACACATCGATCCCAGATGAACCCTGATTTGAGAAGAGAACAAAGCAGCTTTTTTCTATTAAAACAGAATGAAACTTTAGTTAGATTAACCGAGTTTGCATTGCTCCATAAATCAATACCTTCTACTCTGCAAATACCCTGGGCTGGTGAAGACAGATCTGCTGCCTTGCTGGGAGTCGGAGATTGACGCTTGGCAATGGAAGCTGCAAATCACATCTTGCTGGAGTCTGTGGCGCACGTGCCGCAAGCCTGCAATGAAAGGTGACATGACTAGAGTACAAATTGTGTATGCATACTTCTTACACTTCGAATTGATTGATACAGTTTATAGGTTTAAGTCTTTTAACCATCCTACGGTTTAACAGCACAAATATGCACGAAGGCCCACAGTCACCGTATGTCCGGTAGTCGTGATCAAATTGAAACTGTACACAGGACATTGCGGCACTCAAAAATCAGTCGTCGACGGGGTATGCTTTTTGTGAATGGTCTGCTACCAGCGTGCTGTGACATTGTCTCCAGGACATTAACATGGAGTTCAAATCGCTATTTGAACAAGATGGCGACACTGCGCTCAACGACAAGACCATTTCCGATATGAAGGGGAGATTTCTCTTTTCTTCCCAAGGGTGTATGAAGCTTATCATCATTATTGGAACCTCTGATTCTCATTTGATCCTCAGTCAGGTGCATTAGACAGTTTAAGGACCATTTTGGAGGTGGATTCGGAGCATTTTGATTCAGTGTAAGAGCTTTTTTGAGTGAAATGAATTAATGGAAGCAAAAACCTATGGAAGGTACTTGGACCCTACTATCACCCGACCATGTCCAAATGTTAAAAGAGTGATTTGTAGGGTCCAAGTTACTGGGACTAGGGGCCCATGTACACGGCTACCTGTAAGGTTTGTAGGCCCCTATAAGCCGAATCACGAGGTATAGCAATAGTGGTTTTAAAAAGGAGAATTCAAGTTGTTATGTTCACATGAATTTAAAGAACGCAGTGTACTAGATTTGGGTCAAAGTTAACTCGCAAAAGACTTAATGTTTTTTTATGTGGCCTGGAAGTACGGGGTGGCGGGGTATTCTGCAATGGACCTTGGTTACTTATTCATCCTTGGAATAGGACCAAACAGTTACTTCTTTAACACTGAATGTCGAACAATGAACTAACTTCACCAATGACATCGATGTCTGAACATGCTTAAGTTATAACTAACCATCATGGCCATGCATGCTAACTAGCATGATTAGGCTAGCTACTTGAACATGTTGAAGTTGAATTAGCTGGAAGGACTATCTCAAGAGTTCTGGATAAATTTTAGGGTTAAAAAATCGGGGAATTGTATACTTGGACCCCCTCCCCAGTTTTTTGACATTTTAATCTTGCAAAACTGGTAAGTCCCCCCCAAAAAACAAAGGCAACACTCTCTCTATTGCGCTGATCCTATTTTTTGGAAACTTCAAATTGTAGGCCTAGGCCTAAATTGTGAGAAAACGTGACTTTCTCACTGGTAAACTAACCATGCAAATTTGAATCACGCGTGTGGTACATGTTAAAACACTCACAGTTTCCCCTCAAAATTCCCCTCAAAACCCTGCCCTTTTTTGATAACATTAAACCTACACTACAGATATTAAGCATGATGTCACAGTTTCTCCCGAGGTGAATTCAAAAGATGTAGCTCTCTCAAAATGATAGGCCTAGGTCTAATGGCATTAGACCTAGGCCTAGTATCATTTTGAATTCACATGATCGTGATGATTAACAAAAAGGAACAGGGTCCCCAAATTTACAATCCCCCAAAACCGCAAGTGATCTGTTGACTCACATAAAAAAGAACATCCTTCCAAGAAGTCACAATCAAATCATACAAACCTCTAGCATGGCTTGAACTCCTTGAAATAGCAGCAGCTACTCTGACACTCATCATGCTCATGGAGGCTGCCATCTTGAATTTGTTTTCCCATAGACGTAAAGACGTAGCCTTCCGATCCGAAGCATGCACAGTGCAGTGAACTTCAATGTTTTGGTAGCGTCCAATTTAGAAGAAAGGAGGGTGTACGTGTAGGAACACCCCCCCACTCCTAATAAAATACACAAAAGCAGTAATTTACGTGTAGATATGTCATGATGTGACGATGTGAAAAGCTAAGGACGGACAAATAATGCACGATATGGCCTCATGATACAAGCTAAAAAACTGATTTCACTTGCCATTTTTTCCCTTTAGTTGCAGAGAGACGTTTTAACCCTAGCAAAAGATTCACTGCCCGAATACCCGGCCTACATTATCCCCTTAATCCTTCATTTGTTCGTGGAAACTATTCGTTTTTATATATTGTGAGTATTTCAATATTGGTTATAATGATATTCACAAAAGCAAAGCTAAAAAACTTATATTTTCTGTTGTAAAGCGAAAAGAACACCTCTGTCACATAATGGTTTTGGCCATGGATTACCCAATCTCAAAGTGCGCATGCGCGCATATTTAAGCGCATTCGATTACCTGCCATCTTGGATTTCGGAAGTAAAAACTGCTGTGAAACGAGTCCCGAATAAATGACAATTTAGACAGTTTCTTAGATTTTCCCGACACAAAATACTCAATGAAGGTAAGGTTGACAATCATATCCATCATTAGATCTTTCAAGTATGCCAGTTTTGGTTTCAGCAATGGAAAGAAATTCTAGTTAAAAACCTGTTTGCATAATAATCGACCAAGTTGTTGACTTCGAATCTAAACAATATATAGAGAAAAAAGTCCATTGTTCTTCAGAACCGTTGGGAATAGAAGAGTTGACCATGTACTATGTAGATAGTGAATGAGTGATTATATTGATTATTATGTCAAACTTCGGTGTATATTAAAATCTCTTTACAGTTCACAAAATATTCTATTTCAATTTGTCTGGCACGTTTTTTTAAAACTTGTCATGCTTGTGAATTAGTTGTGTATTGCCTGGTGTAGGCCTAGCCCTATGCCTCGTTATTGTGAAATTTGGAGGCCCTTTGAATTTAACAAATCTACATTACTACTTGTGGATAGGTTGTAAATGTTTTGGCGTTCATTACCATTAGCACCCTGTTCTTATATTAACATTAACCTAGTAACTGTCAAGCGTAATGTTTGGCTTACACTTCACAGTACTGCAAAATACTAAGTAATAGTCTGAGCCTGAAGGACCTAGCGCTACAGATTACTACTTCTGGCTAGGTTACTTCCATTGTTACTCGTACTACGGAGTAGTACGGAGTAGGCCTTACTGTTCAGGAAGAAGTTCCATACATGGATATCACTGATTTTTCCCAGCTGTGGTTAAATCAGCCATTAGAAAGTGAAAACAATTCCAAAAATGTCAAATTCAGCAGGGAAAATTTTGACATATTAACACAGAAAATACAGGTTTTTTTTACAAAACTTACAAGGCTCGTGTACATACAAGGTTCCAAGTGATACTTGTGTGTGGAACTCTCACCTTGTGAGGCCGTAATATTTCTTGCACAATTAACAGAAATTGTAATGTTGCTCCGTTGTGTCAGGCATCATTCTTTTAGATAATGAACAGTTTTAGACAAAGCAGTTTTTAAAACAAAAGGAAGGTGAATTGTGGTGGCTGGCAGAAAACTTGAGCATTCCAAATTAACCCTAACCTCACCGAAAGCTTCAAAATACCACTTAGTAGCAAAATGTAGCATACATGCATGCATTGTTCTCTGAAGCCATAAAATACAATAGATAAGACAAAGTACCGTTCAGTGCTGTGGCACTAAGAACATATGACTTTATCTGTACGAGTAATAATGGAAGTGCCCTAGCCAGAAGTAGTAATTTGTAGTGCTAGGTTTAGGCTCAGACTACCACATAGTATTTTGCACTACTGAGTCCTATACCCCAGGTGATACGCCAGGGGGTTAGCGCTAATGTTCTTACAAGTTTGGGATTTAAAATCCGCTTCCTTGTGTACATTGTCATTGTGAATTTGAAAAGGAATGCTCATCTGAAGGTTGTGCCTTCAAATTCCCAGTGAAAACTCTAAAACTCCAGTGTGAAATATTCCGCATGTACAATATGGATCATAATTTAATCCTTTGGTCTTCCCCTCCCCCTCGTGTTGCGCCTGCCTCCTGCAGAAAAAACCTCCAGGATGCCTAAGGACCGGCACGATGCACAAAATAACCACAACAACCACCGACGGCAGCACCGCATCATGTCGCCGGAGGACCTGGTCTCGGGCAAGAAGCCCCACTGGGAGCAGCTGGAGATTGTGGGCACCATTCGCAACCTCAGCCCCCAGCTCTGGAACCTGCGCTTCCTGACGGCGCTCTACCTGAACGACAACAACCTCACCCGGGTGCCGGCCGAGATCTGCAAGCTGACTTCCCTCACCCACCTGGACCTGTCAGCCAACAAGCTGCGCAGTCTTCCCGTGGAGCTGGGAGACCTAGTCACGCTCAGGTAAGAGGAATAGATACTTTTCCTCCTCCCCCCCCCCAAAAAAATAAAAACCCAATTACCAGAAGTGTGACTGGAACCCACAGAATGTGTTGTCAGGCAGTTTTGGAAAAGTTATGGGAAATAAGGGGCCCATTTTTTGTGTGTCCCTGTCACATCTAACTGGATTTTGTAAGTTCAGAACACATTTTCTAATTTCCAAGAGTGATGAATTAGTGAAAATTACCTGCCAAAC